TTTAAGTGGTGGGAGAGGTCTGCCATACGGTGATTATTTGTTGTGGTTTTTTGTGTTTTTTTTCTTTTGGGGGTGGGAGGCAAGACGCAGGGGGGGGGGGAAAAGTGGGGGGGGGGGGAAAGGATTTTTTAAAAAAATTTCCCGGGGGTTTTATTGGGGGGGGACCAATTAAAAAAATTGGGGGGGGGGGGGGGGTGCAAGTACAAAAAAATATTCGCACAAGGGAAAATTAAATGAAAAAAAATTCATGTACGCCAATTAATCCTAAAAAAATTCATACAAGGAATTCAATAACGAAAAAAAATTCCTGCGGCTCGGAAATTCCCCACCCCCCCTCTCCCCCCTCCACGTAAGTTTTCTAATGGTCTGTCCCTTAGTTACTTTGATTTCATGTACTTGCTATGAGCATAGCGCGCCTTCCCTAGCTCTTTCTTAGAGAAAAGCCCTGGAGTCGAACTTGCAGAGCCGTTTGTTATCCAGTTACCAGATATTTTTCAGGGTAAGCTGATGTAACTTAGAACAACAGAAGATTGTATCCTCTTCTGCTTAGAAAAACGATTTAAAGGGTGCTCTGACGTCTACAAATCTATTTTTCATCGACTGAAGTTACTTTTAAGCAGAATAAACAAATCGGTCAAGAAGGGAGGGAAGATAGATGAATTATGTGTTAAAACAGGGACACACTTGCACCAGTTTGCGCCCAGGCTGGGCGGCTGCCATTGGTTTCTCAAAACAAGTATAAAGGACGCTAATAACGATTCAGTAAAATAATTTCCAAAAACTTTAGACATAAGATATCTCAATTAACACTATGTTATTATTATATCAATTTAAAAGGCCCAGATATCTCAACATGCTGACAAGGGATTTCGCTTCTCTTATTTCTTGGTAATCAACTGAAGCAGAGATTCAAATTAAAGGTAGTGTTTGAAGGGACAATCCGTAGTCAGAGCATAGTAATGAACACAACTTTTCCGTATTTTCTGGGACATTTTTTTGCCAACTGACATTGGGTTTGCGGGTTATACTCGCAATAGGGTTGACATGATCAGAATACAGTCAAACGAACATTACTCTGTAAGCAGCTTCTCTGACTCTCGATCCGCTGGGGTACGCACCTGTAGACAAGGGTAAAGGAAGTTCTGGGAACGATTTAATTATCACTTAGTCTCGTTATAATTCGGATCTCGTTTACATGCTGACTAATAGCCATTGGAAAATAGTTTAAGGGTGCATGAACCGGCGTTGAAGAATGATGTAGAATGCTATTTAGAGAAAAGAACAACGGAGTAAACCATGTTGCTAAGAGAGTCTATATACTGATAGAGTGAAACTAAATATCTTAATTACCTGCAGCCATTTTGTCGATAGCTGACGATGCTATGGCAGCTGCTTGCGCTAAAATAAAATACAATAATTTTGTTAGATCATGGGTTTAAATTCTAATCAGTTTTGTGTAGACTGTACCAGGAAAACAAAGTGGTTATAAGGAGGAAGAAACCAGCAAATTTGCAACAACGGACACCGGACATGGGCAAATACCTTTTCGCCGCTCAAACTTATTTTCACGTCTTTGTCGTTGCTCGAACTCCTGTACTTCCTTGAGCAGATCGGATTTTTCTGTCTGGGTCAAAATCTCCTTCATGATCCTAAGAGAGTCGATTCCGAGAAGGCCGTTGCTTTCTAGCTCCTTTAATAATGATCGAACATCATGGATGCTGGCTTGCCTTTCTTCCGTTATCTTCCCGCAACAAATTGAGACGAGTCGTTCCAGATCGTTTAGCTCGTCAAGTTCTCGTATAATCTGCTCGAGCAAGTTGTTGTATTCCGTCTTTTTGTATTCAAACTTTTCAACCTCTTCTAAAAAAGCCCATTCCTTGACGCCTTTTAACATGGCCTTCAATATCGATAGACGATCGGAACTCAGAAATCCTTTCTCTTCTAACTCTTCAAACAACGAAAACGTAGGGATATTTTCTTCGCCACGGCGAGCCGCAAGTTTTCCTCTGCATATCACAAGTAATTGCTTGCCAACATTTATGTTGTCGAGTCTTTGGCTTATTTCGAACAGTAAATTGTTATATTCAAACTCAGACATTTCAAAACAACGACTACACCTTTTCCATCAAGTATTCCCGTTGTCCTCACATCCTTATCACAGTTATCGATCCGCGAGGTATTCTTAAAACTGACATGGTGGACATTTTTGACGCGGATGCGATGATTTGTCACGCGAATTAATTATTAGTCACGGGAACATGCAGGGGCGGATCCAGAAAATTCAGAAAGGAGTGGCAGGGACAGTCATATTTAACAGCTCTAGCTGTTCCAGATACTTTTTAGTTTTTCTAGACGAAATTTTATAAAAATAATACAAAATTTCAAGGGAAAAGGGGTAAACGGGCCCCCCTTGGCCTAGCCCTAAATCTGCCCATGACATGCATTTGCATGTAATTGCGGACCTTTAAAATTCCTAATTTCTAACCGAGGGAGACTAGGTAAAACCAGATTTATTATGGGATTGTCAATATTAAGCCCCCATAGACACAAAGAGCGCACCAGGCTCTGCAAAATAATCAAGTTCGTTGTTTACCGGGCGAGCCGAGGTACCTTAACCTCTCTGAATATAGCTGTATCTGGCAGTGCAATATTGTCCCTATAACCACCGAACTTGAGGATTTATGGGCGATGTTCTCCTTCTTACAGTGTCTTGCGTCAAAATCTCATAATACATGGACTCATATTCAGTCGCCAACGGGTTGAAATTAGGCACGCCAACCAGAAGCTCTATAACATCTACTTCTCTAAAAAATGGCCTGTTTTTCATTCAGTCTGCGTGGTAGACGTTTTGCAGGGAATGAAAAACTGGAATCCTCGCGAGTTCCTTCTTCGCGTTCTCGGGTGACCATCAGGGACCGCGGAGGGGGAGGGGCTGGTAGGGCCGCGGCCCCACCACTTTTTGGCGCCCCGCCCCCACTTTTGGAAAATCAAATACTATGATTTTATTCCTTTTTTCGATTTTCAATATGAAAAAATTATTTTCAATTGTCAGCCCTCCCACTTTTCACCTTGTTCCGCGGTCCCTGACCATTCGCCCTTTCAAACGCCTGCCACGCAGGCTACTTTTGGCGTTGAATTTTCGGATGCCTAGACTTTCAGCTAGGAAATCCCGCTAACAGATGAAAAATTTTTAGGGGATAAAAAAATGTCTATATCTACCGTTTAAATCGGCTACTACGTTTAATAATGCCATGTTTAAGAAGTTTTGAACTATATTCTCGTTGGGTGCCCCTGAATTTACAAGGATGTTGTTTGTAACTCGGAGCTTTTAGTTCCCGTCCTGTTCCCGTATAACAACCAAAGCCGAGTTTTAGACGACGGTTTCTTATCTGATCAATGGCCTCTCTCTTCCCTTCCAAGCTCCTGGCTTTAAAAGAATTTTCAATAGCCCCCTGCTTTTATGAACTAACAGAATGGACAGAGATAGACAAAATGGTGGTCCTCAGTCCTCCGTACCAGTCCTCATAAAACTACCAAGGTGGCTCCTACGTGCCGCCAACCATTATGAACGCTCTCCAAGATAAAAAATTGAATCCTTTACTTGCAAAATGAACTGGGGTGACACACTCATTACACATGTGCCTCCTGGTAATAGGCGCTTCTTCGTTCGTTCGTAAAATATATGCTGGTCATGTCTCAGGCACCCCGGACGTACTGTATGTCAATAAGGGTGTATTATAGATCAGCAAAGGCAGGGTCGGACAAACCGATCGGAGCTGGAGTCGACGATATTCGACTTTGAGAGTTTAATAAACAGCGAAAAATGCCGTTGAAAACTAACCAGGGCAAAGAAATAGACAGTTTAAATATATTCATTTGGAACTCTTGCCCCGGTACCGGATAAATCTTTATGTAGGGAAATATTAGGCAAACCTATCCACTGAATCAGCTGGATAGAGATACAGACTAGGCCCTGGGCTACCTGTGATCAAGGGAGTATATCCAATAATGCAATGCGGGTATTTTTACAACATGGCGGCGTGATGTACAAATACGTGTTACACGAAACAGCGCAGTGGCAGATGCTGCGGGTTTATTTGCCTCACCTGAAATATTCTCAGTGGAGAAGCAGGTCATTATGCCAAGTTCATCATTACAGCTCGTTTGTCATGAGGTTATGTTCATTGACTGATGAACATAAACTAAGCTCAACAGTTCTGAATTCAAGCTTGTGTGGAGGATACAAGCTTAAAAATACCGTTACCTCCCTTATTACTTTCATCCAGGCACGAACTTTTTACGCCTCTAGGCAGTTAAATGGTCATTTGTTGGAGATGTTGGAAGATCTGCAGAAGAAAAAGAGAGTGAAGTCCAAGCAAGATCAGCTCGTGAGTTCTTTCAACATTGTGCGACAAATACAGATGGAAACAGACCTCGATGAGTTGCTTGAGATATACAACGCCTTGAAGAACGAGACAAACGTCGATCATGAGAACTTAGCTGTTCTATCGGCTCAAGTGGCACTGTTCAATCGGTTCGCGTTTTTAGCGGCACGCAAGGACGGACACAGGCTCACCTTTGATGACCGTGTGGTGGCTGCCACAGGACACTTAGCCAATATTATCAGATGGAAGAGTAAACTGTGTGAGCCCACCCATTTGGCAACTACTGTCCATGGTATTGCAACTCTTGGACTCAATGATATTTCATATTTTATTCACTTTGAAAGAGAAATCAAGAGTCGTGATCCCACTTTGTTCACAAATGCTGACCTTGCAATGATTCTCTGGGCTTATGGTAAAGCACAGTTCCGTGCAAAGCACCTATACAAAATTATTAGGAATGAAATAATGGCGAGGGATTTGTCTACTTTTAAGGTCAAGGAAATCTGCCAATTTTTGTGGTCTTATGCACGGACACTGGAAAAAGGTGCCAAGCTTTTTGCAGTCTTGAGGGAAGAAATATTGAGACGTGATTTGACGGAATTTGAGGAAAGGTCACTAAGTATTATCCTCTGGTCATTTTCAGAAGTTGGATTGAATGTGAAACCTCTTTTCAGGTGTATTAAGCAGGAAATTTTGCAGCGAGGGCTGGCACGCTTCACTAATCAACAACTTGCACAAATTGCCAGTTCATATGCTCAGCAAAATATACGTTCTCCTGATCTGTTCCAAGAAATTTCTGCTGAGATCATTGAGCGTGGTGATCTGGACTTTGCACCGGTAGGGGTAGTCATGATTGCAAATAGTTTTGCCAAGACTAAAAATTACATCCGGGATCTCTTCAAACTCATTGAAAATCATCTTATGACACAGGATTTGTCAGTGTATGAACCTTTGCAACTTGTAAGATTCCTCTGGGCATTTACCGATGCTTCTCTTATGACTGAGCCACTGTTTCTCAAGTTAACAAAGGAAATTCTTCTGACTGATTTTTCAAGCTTGAATGACTTGGCTTTGGAGGAGCTGGTGAAGTCACTGGAAGGCAGTCATCTCAGAGCACCTGAACTTGTGGCCGCAACAGAAGCAGAACTTGTTAGGAGATCGGAGGCACCCGTATAATAGCTGGTAACCTGTTAGCCATGATGTATGTTAAACTGGCAGGTTTCTGCAACACCATGTAATAAACACTTAATAACTGGTCCCAAGGGAAACGGTTAATTTTGTTTCCTGAGAATCTCAATAAATCTCAAACATTGAGATAGGAGGAAAACAAAATTATGGTTTAATGGTTTCCTAAGGGACCTGTCTTTCAGTGATTTGTTAGTTAGATTAAAAAGAAGCGACTTTTTAAAACATTTAGCTTTAAAAAATTGCAAAAAAACTTTTCTTAAAAACATTTAAGAAATTTTAAAAAAATTTAAAAATACACATTTCGACGTTACCAGACGCCCTTATCAAGTGAAAAGAAAAACGATATAAATTAATGTTCTATAAATACAAGAGAAACAATAGTTCATTAAAAGGAAAGTAACATATAAAAACTTGATAATGAGGCCCAGTAATGTCGAAACATCGTGTATTTTTTAACTTTTTTAAAATTTCTTAAATGTTTTTAAGAAAAGTTTTTTGCAATTTTTTATAGCTAAATTGTTATATAGAAAAGAAGCTGGAAATTCATTTAACCTCACTGTAATGGTGGTCGTTGGTCAACATTCACGGGTAACAGTGCACTGTTACTCTCTGACATCATAATGTCTGGCACATTTGATTGTAAATTATGTTTATGTTAATTTGTGCAATATAATGATAGGTATTATCATAGATTTTACAATGTTGCCCACCCAGAGATTATGACGGAAAATCATTTCATTGTAAGATGTCATGTGGCCTTGAAGTAAATAATGAGAGCGCATGCTGTTGGGAGGAAATTTCCAGCCATATAATAATATTTGTTGTTTTAGCTAGTCTAAAGGTCAATCACCCTTACCTAAAATGCCCAAAATATCTTCAAGTACATCATGTGTGATGCCTAGATATTTAAAACTAATGCAGTTGCAAAAAGAAAGCCTGAAAAGTATCAGGCTCTCTGCGATTTGAACCGTGGCCTGTGTGAAATCAGTGCAGTGTTCTAACTAGTTGAGCTGGCAAGTCGACTGGGAGCTGGTTTAAATTGATTCCTAATTGACATTACAGTCAACTGTCTCTTAGTGATGGACACCTCCAACTGACATTTTAAGTTGGTCTCTGCCAATCCGCAGTTCTTTAATTACCGTGGCTCTTTGAAATGAACATTTGGTGCCAGTGTTTCTCACCCAGAGAGTTGAGAGTTGATTGTGTGATGTACAAGTTTTTCATCAAAGTTGCCACTTTATGTTTCACAACACAGTTAAAGTAGAAAAAATAATGATTTTCCTTAAAGGGGCTATGACTATGTCACACTATTTGCTATCTTTTTTTAAAGAGCTAAAACATATCTTCACATCAGGTGTTGAATTCTAAAACAATAATATTGGTCCAGACTATATTGATACATTGAAACTGTTTCCTATCATCTGTTGCAATGGATGAAAAGGATGGACATGGATTGAAATTTTTCAAGTTTAATGCTATGCAACAATCAGCAACATTTTTTATTAAAAAAGAGCAGGAGGGAGTAAACACTTAAATGATTATACATTATTTACTTCCATCAGGAGAAATTAAATGTTGATCATTTTTAGGGGTTAAAGGGTTAACAAGGCCACCAATGGGCCGTGAAAGTGAGCAGGGAAGCATCATACTAAACCTATCTAAGATAGAGAGATTTTTGTATGACTTTGAAAAATGGTTTGGTAAGTGTTTGTTATTTGTTGTATCAGCCAATTGATGAAAAGATCAAAACATGGACCCTTCATTTTCCTGCCAAAGAAAACCCTAAAATGGAGAAAGCATTTTTCGATTGGCCAATCATGTTGCAGTATGATGTCAAAGCAAGTATCTATTGATTTCTAGAAAGTTCTCGGGCATGAAGTTTTTTCACTTGAGCGTTCGCTTTACCAACCAAAGGCCATGTGTGTTTGTATCGGTTCAATAAACCAATCAAATTGCTCTATTTGTTGTTGTTTCTGTTTTTTTCATGCGTTTTTATTTCAAAGCCATACAAAAATTGCTCTTTATTCATGTAATGTTATTACCAGTTTAATGTAGTTCCAACTATCAATCTTGCAGATAATGCACTTATCACTGTAACACTGAACTGGGTACTTTTAAACAACTTCAATGAAGAAGCAATATTTGTGTTGTCATTGTCAGATTGATTGCATCTAATTCATCAACTAGCACTACTAGGCATTTTATTGGTGGTAGTAGTAAGGTAAAATAATTTGTGAAAAACATCATCACTGGACATCGTTATGATTGTTGTTAGTCATGATTATGGTCGGTCGTATTGACAAGGTTGCAGAATATGCAATGGACTGGACTTACATTCATGATGCCAAAAATTAGTACCATAGTTTTAAAAACAAGTTATTGGTATATGGTGGGGTTTAAATGCGATGGTGTTTCAACATGCTGAGAAGATGTCATTTAAATTCAGGATTTAAAGAATATTTTATATTATTATTACTGTTATTATTTATTGCACCTCCACTTTTTTACCTTTTTCTATTTCTGTATTAATTTTTGTATTTTTTACTGTAGCGTAATTAGCCCACTATTGTTGTTAATTGTATATTGTACTGTTTGTGGATTACTGTACTAACAACTGACATTAACCCAGGCCACGCTTGTTCAAGCACTGGATAAATATATCATATCCACTGGATAAAACACTATCCAGCGGGTACGGTTCAAGGAATGCAATATCCACTGGATGGAGATTTATCAAAATAATGGAAAATGTTATCCACCTTTTAAACAACAGGGGCCGGTTGAATAACTCATCACTTGCACAAGTGACAGACAAAGAGAGCACACAACAAACCATTTCACAACAACTTTAATTTAGAAAACTCTTTTAAATTTCAAGTTCCTTACAACACAAAATTAATACACCATTTCCATACAACCCCCACCTTCCTGTTCAATTGATTATGTAATAATGACCCACATGTCCTTGGGTTGCCTGTGCAGCCCTGACATTAATACGCATACTCACTAGTTGGGTTCAAGTTCTTTGAACCCAACTAGTGAGTATGCGTATCATTTTTAAGCAAACGATACCTTTGAAGTTAAATGTTTCATACAGAAACGGGGTACTAGTCATTACAGTAGAGAACAAGTGTTGATCCAAATGCCGGACTCAACAAACATTAAATTTCTTACCAGGTATTGTACTCTACATTATTTTTTTTGCATCAAGACTTTTCTATCTGTCTGTGAGTTAAGTTTGGAACAAAAGTGATCATTTTTGTCCTCATGCACAGCATGATAATCTCAGTCAGTTGATCCCTTGCTAAGTTTTGAGACACTTGTGGATAGAAGAGGTAGTCTTGGGAGTGCAACTTCTTACTCACACCACTATGGAGTTATGTAACTCAGACCAAACTTTAGATTCAGTGGCTACTACAATCTAAATCTACTTTCCAATTTTGCTAGTTGAAAGCTATCCAATAAATTTAAATTTGTAACCTAACAACCTCTTTCTTCCCAAAATAAATAATTTTCACTTGATAGTTTAGTGAGCTTCACTAAACTTTTTATTTATTCCATCTTCGTTTCGGCAAAGTTTAACTCTGTTCAGATTTGCTTCTGTGCACCAGTCCATAGAAGAAAGAATGTTTGTTTCTCAGCAATGCTTGTGGGGTGTCAAACTCGATCACAGTCCCTCGATCCATGACAAGAACACGGTCACTATCCATAATGGTATTGAGCCTAAAACAAGGGAGATTGCATTGATTATTTGACAGGAGCTTACACAAAGGCTTTTTTGAGCAATGAATATCAACCGCCGGAAGTGAGGGAATTTGTATTACTAAGTGTCTTTCCTCTTATAGAGACGATGTGCCCAAAAATCTGGGCAAAACTACAACCCAACAATGCAAAAAGGTCTACTTCCGGTGGTTTTCCGTCAACAGCACCTCAAAAACGTCTCTTTGCTTGAGCTCCCTAATATTATCCACTCGCCAACAAGCTAAGTAACTGAGAGAAGCGTTGATCAGAAGTAACAAAGGAACTCTTCTGAATTGTATTAGTCTTCATAAGCCACTTTCTAATATTATATTATTAACGGGTTAGCTGTCCAAGGCTTTAGGTGTGATCTTAGTAGACATAAAAAGCTCGGAACGTAGCCAGTATTCGAGAAGGCCAAATTGATGGTACGTCCTTACTTTCAACGTCTAGCAACCAGAAACCTTGACCAAGAACTGACTATCACCTGCAATCGCGACAAAAAGGGACTCAAACGCATCGCTTGGTTTTCGATATGATGTGCACGCGTGCCGCCTACTCACTGCAGATGGTCAGAATTTGGAGACTTAAAATCACTTCGAAAAGCGGAAAACGTAAGTTTTTATCACGTGACTAACTTTTCCCTTTCGTCTACTGTTGGTTACATCTACAGAAAAATTAGTAGACTACTTTCGTGTCAGGTTCACCCATAAGGGTTATCTTGCAAAGACTGTTTTTTATCAGCTCATATCCTAATTTTAAAAATTGTCAACTGACGTTTGCCGTCAGCCGCAAAACGAACTCTAATTCTCTCTATTAATTAAGAAAAAGAAAGAAAGGCAAAAGACTTCGCTAATGGATAGTGTCCTGTCTCTAAGGTCAAATTTTTAGTGTACTCTAGAACAAGCCGCCAAATCAACTGATAGATTTCAACTCTGTGTCAAACTTGAGTTAGCCGACTCGATAATCAATATTACATCATTTCTCGCTAGTATCAACCTATCTAACCTGTGAGCAATGGTTAAAACAGTGCTCTCCTTAAATTCACTTTTGATTGTCTGCTGTATCAGTTTGTCTGTTTCCAGGTCAACGCTTGCTGTTGCTTCATCAATACACAGCACCTGAGAACGATAAGAGAGTTTCCTAAGTGGTTGTAGCCCGCGTAGCAGGCGCCGGCTTTTAAGGGTGAAGTAGGCCTCCTCTCCCTCCGCGTTTTCTGCTTGCGCGGCCTTAAAAAAAAAACTAACCGG